TTGGCACTCACGTGTTTTGCATTCCCGGTTTTACCATAACAAATTACTTGTGCCTTAACTAGTGTTGCTATTTGAGGTCCACTAGCAACTAGGCGTGAACTATTTTTGATTCTAAAGTTGGTTTTGTTGTTCCCATTGTGCCCTGTTGAGTTGGTCCTCCCTTTATAGCTTCATCTCTAGTTATTTTAACCATGCTCAAGTGACCTCTTTATTACTAAATGCAGTCATGATCGCTTATCGTGCGTAATTTCCCAATGTCAACTGCTACTATCTAACTTGAAAGCGTAGGTTGACCGTGAACTCGTATAAACATTCAATTAAACTGGTAGAATTCTTTTTCATTGCATATGGTATTGATCAATGACACTATTTTTACAACTAAAGTAGAACGGTATAGGAAATTTATGATTGAATTCTGGTAGCCACCCAATATGCCACCATTTACCTCCAAGTTTGTTTTCAAACGCCTTTCATAGGGCTTCTGTAGTAGCTGTCGGTTTAACGGAGCAAATATTGTTTGCAGTGTACGCTTGATGTAAACTATCCGAGTGTATTTCACTTTACTCTCTTGCACTATTAAGTACTTTACTCTGGTAATTTTAAACGAATCAGGCAGTGTCACTCCTTGCTTCCTGGGAATAAAGTAGAGCTCTCGAACTTGGGTAAATGTATTTGTCTGCATCGTCCGTATTTTGACACGATATCTCATTTTTTACTTAAGGGCTCCTAGATGCTCCGATTTTCTTGTTCTCGCCTCCTTCGCAATGTCCGTTTTCAGGTCTTGAGGCAAAAGTCAACTTCTGTAAGCCTTCACTCCCGTCGCATCCCACATATTATCGAACCGAGACTTCTGCTAGGTACTGCCACGGCCACTACCCTCTACGTCTTCTATTTGTGGTTTTTCGACGATGATAAACCTCCCCCGGAATATCCCAACAGTTTTCTGGTACGAACCTTGGCAATTTATAGACTATAGCAGTACTTTTCTTTTTAATGTGCCATGCTCTTGCTGCTCATTAACAAATCATTCATGCCTCTAGTTGCCGCAGTTCCAACATTTTGCGCCTGAATTATAGGCAGTTAAGCATTTTTTGTCAAACGCGTTGCTGAATTTCGTTTAGTTCTGCTATCTGCAAACTTGTAGTTGGTCCTCATGTATGCTGTTACGCTGAGTCAATTTTTACCCCCCTGATGCATCCGTCCATCTAGGCTGTCGTACACCGCAGACTCCCTTCTAATGCCTACTCCCATTTCGTGGGCCTAGTTGCTGATACGAATGTTCCTTCTGTTCTTCGGCCTTTCGTTTTCGGAGCCTGTGCCAAGTTTATGAAGTATGATATGACCGAGGCCAAGGAGTCAGATTTGCGCAAATACGCCACATTTGGCCAGTTATTCAATCGGGAATTGGCTCCCGGGGTGAGGCCTATTGACACCAAAGCACTAATTGTAAGTCTTGTGTTGCTCGATTATAGCCTAAGCAACTACTTTTAACTGCATACCCCTTAAGTGACAGGTTGAGTATGCTGACTAACTCATCGTTCGTTTGTAATTAATTGTCATAATTTAACTAGAACTCTGCATCACACCTATTGCGTTGAAGATAAAATGAACCTACCTTAAAAATAGCTGTACTTTTAGAATGTGTGTTCTGGCTTGGCATTCGACAAGCAGCAAAAATGTCGTTTTAGTTTTGCTTGCTATCCTTATAACAGCTTGGGCTTTTCTCGATACTTGGTCAGCCCTCTTATGCTGTGATCTTTTTTCCTTATCGACCTTAACTGAAAAAGTAATTTTCCGACGATCCCACACTTTACCACAATGGTGCTATTGTAGATGGAGTCAGATCAACTTTCCAAAAAACCCGCGTACGGTTAGTTGGTCAAAAATCTGAGCAATCCAGATAAACATTTTGACTTATGTTCTCTGGTGATGGCTAAAATAATTTCCTTTACTTTTGTCTGTGTGTAAATCTGTCCAAGTGCTGGTAGTCAATTGCGGAATAAAATTGTTGCCTTTGGTAAAAAGCGGTGATTTTGACGACGAAAAAAGTGCGTTTTGTGGGGGTATTTTCTTAATCGGGAAGAATTTTTAAAGGGTATATTCTGTGCGAACATTTGTCCTCACTAAAATAGGCTCTCTTTCGCAATACTCTGACTTCAGAATATGAAAGGTGCATGGTACAAACTTCGTTTCCGTGTTTGTTTGGCTTATTTGTTGACTTCTTGTACACGATGCCCTCTGACCTGGTGTTGTAATTTCATAAAGCTCCAGAGAACTACTACATCGCCTTTAATTTCCACTGATTGTAATGTGCCCCACAAATTCGTTTCCACGTGTACTGTTGTTGCCGGGCCATGTAACCACGCTTGCGTAACTCAGCCAATGCCCAGACGCATGGGGGAACATGACAATTTATTTGGGTCTCGTTGGGTTACTGCTACAGTTACGTGTTCACATATATAAACAAATTAGGTTCGGGGTATTCCTGCACGGATGAATGGTTAGAGTGGCCTGTATAAACAAATGGCTAATCATGGGAGTACCAGTGCAGTCATGCATGAACCGCTGTGTCAAATGTGTTCCCACAGCACTCGTAACCCCTTGCGTCTTTGAGGGCGTCGTATTTGAAAGGTGCCAAAATTTGAATGGGTAGAAGTCCACCAGACCGATCATGAAAATTAACTGGAGGAATTTGAAGTTCCACAGCCGGCTAACTTCATCAGGAGTTATCTTACCTCGGGCTCTTTCATTACAATGAAAGTGTGCGGTCCTGCATTCACATCCATGTGCATATCTGTTGGCTACTATCATTGACTTCATCGCCACGTGTTTTCGCTTAATCAAAATTGTAACAGCTGCAGTATCTGCACACGTTCACTTCCAGGAGCTTTCTTTTGCCCGCTCGAACTGATCTTTTACTACTATCAGAGGATAATGTTTAATGTGTTCACTTCCTTTGCTTGAATGTTCATTAATCTAGCCAAATGCATTTGGAAATTTAACTTGGAATGGGTCCATATGAAATAATTTTATTTGCCCAGTGACATCGAACAATGTGCCCAAACCTCGATATTTGTTCACTTAAGAAAAACTCGGGTAGCGGGTGTGTGGTTTTTAACGCATTGGCATCTGTATTTATTCGAGAACTCTCCTGCTGATGGCACAGTGGTCCATATTGGTCCAGTAGAAAGCGAGAAGGGTTTGTTGGAACAGGTGAAGGGGATTACCTTCAGTATGGCGGAGTTCCTTGGTCCGACTGATGGCCTACTCAGGAAGAAATCAGGGCGGTTGTATCAGTGTATCATCTACCTGTCTCCCAGTGATTACCACCGCTTCCATGCGCCTGCTGACTGGATCGTAGAGATACGACGGCATTTTCCAGGTAAGATGCTGGCAGTCGTGCGTGCTGTTTGTACCTTCTCGGTGCTGTTAAATGTTTCTAGCACAAGCCAATCCTGCGCGATCTAGTCCCCACTTGTTTCTTCACTTGTAGCATATGGCATCAGGTAGGAGTTAAAAAGCTTTTAAACAGTTCAATAGATTCTGATTTGCTCAATTAGAAATTTGGGCTATTTTGCAGTTCTCTTAAAATGCATTATCTCGCCAAATTTCCTTTTTCAGGTAAACTGTTGTCAGTTCGTCCGTCCTTTATCAAGAACCTTCCTGGCGTCTTTGTCCTAAACGAGCGAGTTGTCTACTTGGGTGAATGGAAACACGGCTTCATGAGCCTGACCGCAGTCGGGGCTGCTGGCGTGGGCTCCGTTGTGGCCGCTGACAACATTGATCCCACACTCTCCACCAATCGTTCAACCTCCGCTCTCGAACGCCATGAACCTGGTCAGCATTTTGAGGAAATCAGTCTGGGCAGGGTAAACTCGCCCCTCGGAACGCCTTTCGGCCAATTCAAGTTAGGCTCGACCATTGTTCTGGTATTTGAGGCTCCGGCGGAGGGCTACGTGTGGTCCGTTCAACCGGGAGACCGAATAAAATACGGTGCAGCCCTCATGGCACCTTCTTCACCTTGATTTGAGATTTTCATGCCCACGTACTTTTGTACGAGCGCCTCTTCGATCCCCCAACTCACTTCTAGATAACTTTCTAATTGCAATTCTTTCTTTTGTCTTCGAAGCAATATGTAGAACTATGAGAATGAAGTTAGTGCATTGCTCATAAAATATTTCTAATATTGGCTAACAGTCCATATGCGTAACCTCCTCAGTGGTTGTTGTTAAGCACTGTAAATGATGCTTTATTGGGATGTTTAGTGCCACCGAAATTGCACTTTGTAACTTGTTAGTACTCTAGTAGGAGTGATACTACTAAGTTTTTTGGTGTTATTCCATTCGCCCAACTTATGACGGTCAAGAAGGTGGCTCATGCGGCCATTTATTAATATTTTTGCGTAGTGGGCACTTCGGAATCTAGTTGGTTATGCAAACTTTGGTGGTGCGATGTGTTCAAACGTGTTATTTTGATGCACTCTCTGTAGTTCCATCTAAACCTCTCGTAAGTAAATCCCAGTTCTCGATACGCCCCCCTTGGCAAATTGCTAAAGCCTGAAGCTACTGAGTTTGGTTTCGGTACATTGAGATGGAAACAAAAATTTGTTTAAATAATAGTAATCTGGAAGCGCAGATTTTTCGGTATCAAATTTTCATTGGCTACTAAGTTTTCGATGCTGACACTTTGCCAGTCTAAAAGGCCAGTTTATGAAGTACTTGGCTGAAATGATGGTTCGTTTAATTTAGGAATGCCTTAAGTCCGCACAACTATTGATCTCTAACCGTGAAAGGTATGCGAAAATGTACTTCCAACCTGCAGTAAGATTTAACGGCAAAAGTTGCTCCTGGTGGTCACTTGAATTCGTGCGCTACTTTCGTACAAGGACACGGATTGTCCAAATTCAAGATTTTTCCACTAGGTTACTGCATTTGGGGTTTCATAATTTGTGCCGTTGGTCTGCATAACAACTTTTGAGACACCACCAATTCCAATATTCGATTTACCTACTGAGCGATTTGCCCAAAGTTCTCCCTTTTTAAAGAGGGATATTTGCATTCAGCGTGTTGGCTCTTCAGGTGAGAAGATTACCGCTGATAAGCTCTTTGATACATATAGATGATTTTGAGGTAGTGGCTTTTCAGTCCTGCAGTAATGGCCAATTCACGTATGATTTGCTGTTGTGGTTTATCAGGAACGCCTTGGTAACGATTTGGAAATACTTTAGTTTAATGCGTATTAGCACAGGAGCACGCTTATGTGTAGAAAGGGCAGAAAAGTTAGGTTGGGTGGTTTGTGTTGTGTACAAGTAATCTTGCTGAGAGTTCGCACATAATAATTTTTCAATTCAAAATAGAGCTTATGCCGATAGCAAAACTCACGTTTGAGTATTGGTCCCTGCACTGCACCATTTTGCAATAGTTAGCAAGGTTTCACAAGTACTGAAAAAGTGAATTAACTTAAATACCACAATATTCAAACCACAAATGTGACAGCTCCAATTGGCTGATCTTATGTGCTTTCGCAAGTTATCTAGGATCAAGTCGACGGAACGTGAAACGATTCCGACCATTTTGGCAGTTGTGCCAGCTTGGGAAACAAACTTGTGTGGCACAGTGTTACACATGTAAACCCTTGTAAATCTCCCAAGGACCCGTCTTTGAGCATTCTGCTGATACTTTCGTGAAGCCATATGGCAGCAAATGTTAATTATCATGAACCATTGAATCCACGAAAAATTTATTTGTCTTGGACCAACTATTTGATTGGTGAGGACTTAAGAACTGAGTAAATGAGGGAAATAAGTTCACAGGCATCTTTTCCAAGGAGTAAGAAATCAAAACATCTCCTTTAGCGTACCAGCAAGCATGAGCAATTTGGACATTAACTACTTGTAATAACACATAGTCAACCTCTCGTTGAGAATGGCGGTTTTCTTGTGGGCCGCCGCAGCGTCATTAATGTCCATCACCGTGTTTCCTTTGATCAAGTCAATCTGGGAAACGATCTGGCCTATGGTTTTGCCACCATCTCCGCGGCAAGCCATGTGCCAGTTAAACACCCGCAGGCCTTCACTCAGCCCATCATATCGTCGGGAAACGAGTAATGGCAACAACTGGCTTTGATGCTTTGATGTCGAGGTTAGTGTAATTCCCCCAGGATCTAACAAATACCACCTCAAAGCGTTCTGTCTACAAATTCAAGTCGATGGAAGTGATTTTGAGGGAATTCGGTGCAAGAATCACCCGGCAACTCAAATCGTTTTTTTTATTTACTCAATTACTATGTACGCTTTCTCTTGCATGCTGCCACAATTTAGTCACCTCCCGAGAAACTAAACCTCATCAAAGATGCTGAAACTGGGTTTCACTCCATAGGGTATGCTATAGCAAATATCACTAACTTGTGCTACTGGAAGGAAGATTCAAATGTGGTCTTGCGAGCGGACACTTCCCAGACTGTCGCCGGCGCAGTCCCGCTTAGTCGTTATCTTTCCTTCGCCTAAATCTTTACCTGGCTTAGACGAGTTGGAGGGCATGCTCTAGAGAGTTATTTGCTGTATATCTTCCTGTGAAAAGCTTCCTTTGCCTACCCAAGGACGTAATCTAACCACTTTACTGATCATAAGCCCTTGATTCATACCACTCAGTGTCTGATTGGTGTTCCCCAAGGGAATCAGATATCTTGACTGCGTTTCATAATTCACAGCCGGTAATCGCCTCATGGCCGACGCGCACTCTGATTCGAAACAGTTAGCTGCAGCACAAACTAAGTGAACCGAATTACGACGATTTCGTCCAAATCTGAAAGAGTTATCACTCCTCCACTATTCCTCGAAATGTCATGTTCGAAATGTCAGTTGGAGCACCTCGAATATTTGTTTCTTCTTAATTGAAAAAGCAAATTTTTGCGCATTTTCAATCGCTTTCACATCCTGGCGTTCGAGCTATTGTATGCCTGATTGTAGACCGTTTTACTCATTCAGGCGCTTATGGGCCAAGCTCTGTATTCAATGTCAGCCTAGCAGAGTGCGCTGGCACAATAATTTACAAAGAGGACATTTCCTTGCCCGCCACGTGCATGCAGATTTATTTGGAGCTCTTCGGCCGTCTCGTAGATTTACGCATGTCCTTTTCTGTTTGGGCCATTTTACCCTCAGTCCCGTTTAAAGACGAGGTGATAGAAATTTTGGCCTGGGGGTTATGACGTAATGGGTATCGTCAATCAGTGTTGTCATTTCTATTCCCTCTTATCGCGGTACAAAATTAACATCGTACGTAATTCAGGACATGAATCGTTTCCTTGAGCACAAGCGTTTTCGTACCACGGCGTTGGCTTGTTTGAGCGCATTTTTGAAAAAGCTGGTGCTACCAACTGGTCGGAAGCATAACCGCTTATTTTGTTTGAACATTGACAAAATCATAAGGGAATACGTTGACTCCACACCAGCAGAGCTCATGTTAGGTACAACCTTGTGTCTGACTGGTGAATTGGTCACTACTTCTGACAACAATGTCTAAATCCTTTTTTTCATTTTACGTCGAAACGCTGAAATCCTACATTAAGGAAATTTGACCCACCCTGACTAAACTTTCCTTACGACAATCACTTGTTCAGCCGAATTAGCATACATCCTCCTTTGTCAAAAAACCCTTACGATCACCCTGTGATAGCCCCTTTGTGATGGTAAATCGCGTCAACAATTTTTTACAGTCGAAAGAACGGTAAAACAGGCTACCGTAAACGTAGAGCTTCGCAAAATTTTTTACAAAGATGGCAACATTTTCGCTTCCTTATACTCAAGCAACGAAGAACCTACCCTCCATTCTCCGGCATTCCCAAATTTCACTGCCCCCCGTTTTAGTCGGCCCCTGGGACCCCTTTGTTGATTCCGTATGACAATTTTCAAGCGTTTACAGTGTCTCTCTGGCAAAGGGGAGGGAATATTTGTAGTAGACTGTCAGCAAAGGCGGGCGAGTGAAGCTTGTTCACAGATTGATTGATGTCAACGCTTCACTCTTGTCTTTCATTGGGTGTTGTTGGCAATCGATAAGCACACACTCCCAGGCAGACACACTTGTCTGGTCTGACGCAAATAGATAGTCGCATCGGCCGTCGTCTGTCTTGTCGCTGTTCTCGGGATGTTAACCAACTGGGTTGTATGTCCGTGCAAGTAAACCACTACAATGCACTATCGAAATTAGTCAAGAGATATACCGGTGTGGTAGATATTCCGAAGAGAATGAGTGCATCCAAACGCAAATATTTGGTGGCAACGATTTGGCTCGATACAAACCTATCAATGGACGAATTTCCACTTCAATTTGAAATATCCGCTAACGAAACACTGACCCTGAATCTCACCACCCCAGGTATTGACGCACTAATTAGGCTTAGACAGTGCCGTCAATAGCGGAACGGTGGTGGGGACCAGTGTGTGTAGGAGGTCGTAGAGATTATGGATCCATCCATTCACGTCAGTCAAGATTGAACGGCATTATATTTAGGCCAATTAAATTAAAATGATCCACCCGGAATGGATGTAGACTTGCACTCTCGGAAAAAAGAACAAACCGAATCACCTTGCACTTTTATTTATTAGCCTTTTCAGGCGACGCACGGATACGCGATGGACTGGAGTCCGATAGTTGCAATTTCGATACAAAATACTGAACTATCTGTGATGGTATGAACAAACTTGAGGGGACTAACAATCGATGGAACTTCAGGAAGTGAGTATGTGGCGCAATAATCTGCAAGGAACTGCCGTACTTTCAAACATTTTAAAGAATCCAAGGTGGCTATGGTAATCCAAAAGACACAGATTCGTCTACACAGTTGTGCTTATCTCTAATACACGAAACAAAAATCCAATTGATTTGCTCCTTATACGTGCTTTGTAAGGCTTTCCTTAATCGATCTACTCGTAGTGTCTTTAAAACTCCTTAGAGTGGTTCAGAGCTTTTTTGACCCGTGGAGTGCACACTTGTTTGGGATATGCAAATGGGTTGCAATTTTTGTTCATGAGCCTTCCCTGTTTCATCATTTCGACAAAATTTCGCTTTCGTTGCCAACCCAAATGTCAGACCTCTTTCATTCGTGATGGTGGACTAGGCATCGAAATCTGCTGTTTCTTTTATTTCACTTCTCCTAGCATTTAAAATGCCTCTCGTTCAACTCTATTTCATTACCCGTGGTCATATAGATTAAATTTTGCGTGATTTTCCAGAAAACACTCTGGACATCAAATGACTGTCACTTGAGCCTCACTTGTTCTCCTACAGACCACCCCAGCACCCTTTAAACTAAATAAATGTACACTCACGGTTATATCATCACCCGTCTGAAATAACTACGCCTGATGCGATGTTCTACATGAAATTAAACGTCATCTCATTTGTGTTAGGGTGGGACTGACGGACACATGCACTCACCCTTTCCATTAAACCGCTTCACAATTTGCAACAGGTTTGCCTATTCGTTGCACCACGTTTTCATCAACACTTTCGGAAGCCTTGTCTAGTTCCTACACGGCCGTTTTGATTGGCGAACAGTAGCCACTGGCATTAACGTTGTGCTTGCGCACTGATTGGCACGCACCAGTTTGCAATCAGCTGATTCGACTTCTTTCTGATTGGGTAAAAATTCAAGACCATCGTTATTGGCTGGGACGAGCCAAACAACGGAAACCAAAAACTATAAAATTATGGACATTGAGACAACGCACAGAATCACGGACTTCCAGGCGCGTATTTGGCTGGTCCTATCCGTATCAAGTTCTGGATTAGCTACTTACGTCAGGCAAGTTTATCCTCGCTATTTTACGCTTTTTTCACATTTGCCTACTGGTTCTGCTATATCGAGGTTCGTCTTTCGAGGCACCAGATGTCGTTTATGCAGAGTCGACTGGAGGATGCTAATAGCCATAGTTTTGCTCGTGTGTGCTGTTGGAGTGGCGTTGCTTATGCTTGTGTATCACGATGACAGCATATCTCCATGGTTAGGGATTTTCGACCGTCTATGCGTTCTATTTCATCTGCATTATTCCACTGCTCGTTATTGTCAATTTAGATCCCAGGGCCATTTTACGACACCTTCTCTTCACACACATATTAAAGAAAGTGCTGTCACAACGATACTGTAACCGCATTCACATGTGCAACCAATGTTTACACGGACCCCTACCTCAACTTGACGCCACAGTCGTTCATGTGTTAGCATGCTGAACCTTGAAGGACCGTCAGTGGCGTCAATGTGCTTTCGCATGAACCCGACCTCGAACAACTTGTGTCTTGAATTTGATCTTCTACATAAAGCGTATGAGGGTTCAAATGTTAAGCAGTTTCTCCGCACAGGTCGAGGTTAGCTCATGGTTTTCGTAGTGGAGAACCAGAACACGCCTGCAGATGTGCGTGCCCAACTGTACTGACACTCCACTGAATGCAACCAAATCCCTTTTCTTCATGTACGCCTAGACTGTAGGTTGGAGAATGCAAGAAACGTGCACTAGGGAATCTTCTGTCAGCGAATCCAACGACGAATCCACATCGATCAGCCTGCCTCGATTGGGTATCTCCGCAATTAGGCGGTTCACGAGTCTCGGCCCACGCTTCAGTCTCCATCCACCGACTACCGACGACGACTACCCGTTGGATGCCCCTGCACCTAGCACCCGCCAATTGAGACCTGGCACACGCACATTGCGAATCATGGAATTCGCAAATTTCCGAGTGAAGCGGATGCGACTAGTAGCCAGTAGAATGTCGGATGCAGACACTGAGGACGAAACCTCATCATCAACGCAGAAACCTCTCACTAAGAAACTACCACTTAGGATTTTTCGGCAAAACTCGCCCTCTCGTCTGAAGGCCTCGGAAAAGTAGAGTTCATGTCCACATAATTTGTCCAATTTTGTGCCTTTAAACACGAATTGTGTCACACCATTAATATCTGCTAATTGTTATTGTATTTATTAGAAACATAAACAGTAGTAATAAAGCTAATCTAAAACCCACTCATAAACCGGCATGGATAAGCATAATATATCCCTAATATATGAGCCGCAACCAATTAAAATGCATTTCTATACGATGAAAGCACTTGTCAATTTCCATCGGTTGTATAAATTGGCATTCGGAGGTAGATATTTAAACGGCTTCGAGATTATATATTTCAGAATAGGATGCTATGTCAATACATTATCCACGATCAGGATTACGTCTTCTACAACCACTTATTTTTGCTTGCTGTCAATTAGAATTTTCAGCTACGAGCGATCATTCCATTAGAGAGCTGCTCTCAAACACAACAACCACGACTGCAGTACGCTTTTTACTGATTTTAGAACTCCCGGGGCAAATAAGTCAAACCGCAACTCATTGGGAGAAACCGGGAGCACCCTGACTTGGGCCCCACCAACTAAACCTGTCAAATCTGATAAAAGCCCGGCTAAGCAGAAGATCCGGTGGTTCAGCTCAAGCAGCCCGGTCGGCTCACGGCGCAGCAGAGCAGAGAGTGAGTACGAAAGTGCCCCTGACGAATTACAATCTTGCAAGCCCTGCAACACAGACTGCCAATCAGTATACGTGAAGAGTATTGCGGCAGGATGCTGACGTAGCCACAAAGTCTAGGGATTTGTGCAGGGCAGTACCTGCGTTCGGAAATAGAGCGTCCCCGTCTAAAACAACCCTGTAATCTTAGATTAAGAATCTGTCCGTTTACTTGCAACAGCAGTAGCGTTTCTCAGCTAGACGTGGTGCACGTGATAGTCTGTTTAGCATTTCTGCATTCCATTCAAGCGTACCTTGACGTATTCACAGCAAGGCGTTTTTGTTGTTTCATCCTTTTAGATTGTGTTTCGGACTCCCGTCCTGGGGCGACAGACAACAGGCGTGAACGAAAGCGGTAAGACTTCTGCGTGGATAACTTTCTGTTTTGTTTCGTCGTACATTGGATTTGCACCACATCGACACAAGTTAGATAAAATACTTGGGTAGCCTGACAGATTTCCCCTTCGATAAATGCCACCAACGTTACTCTTTAACACGACATGCCTGTATGAATAGGGCGGCATCTGTTACATGGAGGTGGCTTGAAGCGAAGGATGTATTGAGGACAGAATACAATGCGTTTTTCTACTGATTTGCGACGGGTGGACGATGGATCGAACCGGCGCAGTTAACAAGCATCGAGTTTATGTTGCGAAGCGATTTGTCATTTTCACATATTGTGCATCCCTTTCCGCCTAACATTTGATCGGAGCCACTTCGGTCTGGCAGCTCAGCATCGGCCTGGTGGGTTGATTGCTACCGACTCCCTCATTGTTTGTGCATGGTTTCAGACGGAATACACAAGACGAGGCTGCAGGACCGTGCGTAGGAAATCGAGGCGTTGTGAATTGCCTCATCAGTGTAAATGTCGGTGCTCTTGATTGAGCATAGATAAACACGCGCACGTTGATTCGGCTACTTGGTCGTCATTGAAATCTGTTGGTTTCAGGAGAAGCACGCTCACAAAAAAGGGCACGACTGAGAAATCTCGCAGAAGTTGTCATGTCCTGAATGTGAGCAGGCGTGCGGTGGACACCTCGAGGGATGAAGAACACGTCGCGCCGACCGATGCCACGAAGCGTGCCCGCTCTCCATCGCGCATTGCCTACGACGCAGTCAAGCGAATCTTTCGGGGACGCTCAAAGGAACGACCACACCAGCGGTGTTGACTTCTGTGTGTGTTTACTTTGACACTTGTAAATATCTTTTCTGCTTGAAATCAACTTAACATCATTCAAGTTCATGACTTCACACATGAAGTAACGCGATTGGTGAAGTTGGGAGGGGGAGGGGCTGCGATGTGGAGCAGACACAAGGGTTGAATGCTGCAGCTGCTGCGGCTGCTGCTGCTGCTGCTGCTGGTGAAACCCGACACTCCGATTCTAGAGAGGGCATCCCTACATCCAAGCGGATACTTGGTGCGGAAAGATAATGTGGCAAAGTGCAATCCAGCGTGCTACACAGGTCCTTGGGAGCTGGTACACTGAATTTCGCAGTGGTCTGTTTCGTTGTCCCGAGATTAAGAGGGAGTCACATTTGTCGCATTAAAAGTGGTGGCGCTATTTGGGCCCAAATCTTAGAATTGCATACTGATGAAGACAGAAGTGCACATAGTCTTGCTTATCTCCATAACAGGAACCTCAAATTAGAGTCGTCGCACCGATCGCGTGGAAGACGGTTATATAAGGTAATGTTGTCCGATTACAATGGTAAATTTGATACTCTACCAAAGGAGTTAGATCATATCAACGTCGATTATGAGCATAGCTGGACCCATCGTCTATCAGAGACTGCTGTTTGCCTGTTTGGCACACAATTCCCTGGTTAAATGCCATGAGGCATTACATATGCGGCTTAGGCGAAAGCCAGTAAATGATTTGGCTGGAATGTTCTTGAAACCACTACGCTTGGTCGTCTCCAACATGAAACTTGATCCAGTGAATATGTGGATTAGCAACATGAATTATTTGCGAGTCGTTCGATGTGACCAGCTCAAAACGTCCTTTACACTGTGCACATTTGAGTTCGATTTGGCGAGTAAGAAAGCGGAGAGTGGGTTTAACGGGCGAATAACAAGCCAAGTTGTTTTTAAGGATAAGCCCACACAACGCCGTTGTTATTGTGTGGGTTCGATGTGATATACTTGTGATTTTGACAGCATGTCTGGACGGCAAGAAAATCCAGTTGACAAATCATACCAAGGTCAACAGGTGAGTGCACCCCACCAATTTATAGGCAGTTCTGAAGAAATGAATTCATGCATAAAGTCGATATTGGTAGGTAACAAACGTCTACCAGTTGTGTAATGTGCTGAAATGCCTAATACAATTTAATGACCACCGAAGAAGCGTTGCCAATAGGTGGGTTCAACGCCCGGACAAGCATTCGTATCTGGTCTTCATTGTGCGCTGCTGATAGTGAACTTCGTGTGTGGATCCTCGGTGAGTTCCCTTGTCGGCCGCTCACAGTCCACCAACGCTTCTTGAGTTGTCCTTAAGCGGCAGCAGCACACATGTCCATCACGTTAATTCTCTTAAAAAGTGCGTTGCCTCTACTGCCTCATAGCCACCAAACCGAGCACTTGAATAGCCATGTCAAAAGTCTCCTGATTTATCAGCATCACGTAATCTCTTTCGCATCAAACTGAAAAGCCTCCTATGGCAAGATAATCAGACCACCTAGTTCATTTAATCGAATAGATGTCCAACTATAAATCCACCAGTCATTCAGATATCCGTGGTTCATGTTGCACATTTAACGTTCTGTATTGGTCCACTTTCCTCATCACACCAATTGCACGCATTCTGATTGCTCATATTTACCCACACCCCTTAGTGGTGGCAGTTGAGTTGTCGCGTGTTTACATGTTGTCGATCGCGTGGCACGCGTCAAACTTGTTCACACCACCACCACCACCACCGCGAACGAGACTAACGTGTAAACAAGGATTGTTGGGCTTTATGTGACGAGGACCCATCACGTCACTCCACGAAAAGAGCTCTCACCGACTGAGCCACTGTTGAGATCAGGGGTGTTGAGGATGGGGTGGCAATATCACCCGACCTCGACTGCCACCACTAAGGGGCGTCGATACCTGTTAACTACGCCGGTTCGATCCATCGTCCACCCATCCTTTGTGTTGAATAAGCGGTTCGCGAAAATGTCAACATCACCATCAACACCACCGACACCACCTGAGTGCAGCTGCATCATCAGCATCATCAACGAGAATGACTACCAGAAAGTGTACGGGTGCTTTGTCCACTCAAGCACCTCAACTAGGCCGGAAATAACGCCTTCCTGCTGAACAGCAGATGTTATTTGACTTTGTAGGTCTTGTGCATAATTAATACTGACAGACGCAACGTGTCCATGTCGATACGTCACCAACATCTTCGGCAGAAATAGTCCGGCCCGAACTATTTAACAGACAGCAAAGTGTATGTGATGCATTTAGTTGGTGAACATTCTAGTTTGACGTTTATTTAGTCGAAATCACCCACTATAGTTGGTTACAATTTTCATCGCAATAACTAACGCAGAAACGAGGTAAGTTGTCACATCACCGATGCTAATGTCATTCTATTAGCTTGCTGTTCAACCACTACGAATACTCGATTATTTGCAGCATTTAGTACGAAAATTCAAATGGTGTGTCGTATTTGGAACAAACTTGGTGTTATTTTCGTGATTCACATCGAGTAGTCACCGGTTAACGGCGCATGCCAAGGTTTCAGGTTGAAACGATTGGCGAATGTTCGGTGACTTTTGTGTCACAACATGCCGATGGCCACGGGTAACAACCCTGTCGGGACCCCCGCCTCCCCTCCTTGTCTGCCTGCCGATACAAGGATGTTAGTGTGCACCCACACCCCTGTCAACGTGACTGCCAGCGCCACGTCCTCGCAAACCACACCACTCAGGTTGTGCGGGAAAGATGTGCGGTTGAGCCACAGCCACTGCGGTAGCACAGCAACATACACTTTTGTTGCCGTTACAGGGTGTCTATTTTGCAAGTACCAATCATACAACAACAAAACCAAACCTGTTCTTTTCGCTGAGCATCAGTTGATGACTTCAACACTAAGAGTTTCCACTTTGTTTGGTTTTGAGTCATTTACAGGGAAAAGGAAAGGTAAAGAAAAGGCGACATTTCCATTTGGGGAATCTCTCCGAAAGCCCCGCTTGTGCACAAACTAATTTGGAACTCAAACTAGAAATAAACGTCTTGTGGCTAATCTCGTCCGAGTTGATGGCAGCCTGGGTGGACAATTGACGTGCACAGGAGGAAATGCAGCAACATAAGGAGTGAATGCGATTAATTATGCCACCAATCATTGCTTGCTTAATTTAGATTGTGCATTTTCCGCCCTAATGCCTTTTTTAACTAGATTGGGCAACTTGTGTGAGTTCTACCAATTATCAGTTCACCGCTTCTGGTAGAAAAGCAAGGTGGCTTTTATTAGGCTTGACCACACATCGGTTGTGAATGTGCTTGCAGGTGAATGACAAGGTCGACTGGTTGTCAGGACTCGTATGTAGGCAAAACAAGGGGACTCAACGAGTCACAACGCCGGCCACGCAATGTCAATTGTTGACTGGTGCGTCGACTGAGCGAGAGCGGCGTCATGCGCGTGGCAGCATCGGTTGTGCATTCGGGTTGTCACTATGACGTGGGCTGTGGACCTGCGCTGTTTTGACCAGTTTTCTGTGAACAATTTGTGTCATGCAAATTTATTTATTCAAACATACCACGTTGACTTTAACGATGCTAATAAGACAAGTAAATCATCCATACCATTAAACCGCTCGTAGGATATTGGCCCAAAACTGAGCAATTCACCCGTTGAGGTGCTTGTCTTCGCGTCTTGACTGACTGCTCTAAGGCAATATTGGCGTATATCTGGGGATCACGCGAGGACCGCATCACTTCAATCGGGTGATCCGTGGTGTGCAGGATTCAGCAAAAGGCTTTTTTGGTCTGCCACCAGTCATTCTTGGAAAATTTCGAAATAATCTCAGCAGTTGTTCAGGGCTTTCCACAGAATTCAGTAATACTGCTCCCACCTATTCAGTTATAGCATTTTGGGGCCTAGTGACTCTTCTGTTGCGGGAAACAGCTTCAAGTCTATCGACGACATTGCACGATATTGTTGGTGTAGCTCACACTTATGGGTGCAGCCTTACTTTCAGTTGGAAATTCAATTAAGAAGAGTTAACAGAGCTTTGACTGTTGGTAAGACAAGTTAAGTGGTGTCATCTGTGTCGACGGTGCAACTTAAATGCATTCAGTTGCCGTTGCCGTGTCGATGGTTTGGTTCCGGCAATTCTCCCGCTACACCCCCAACACATGAATGTACGATTCAGTAACTGGCCTCGATTCTCGACATGACGGACTTTCTCGGTCGGTCTGGTGAGCGTGACAAATGACAGTGTTGGAGATGGGAGAGCTGTCAGGGGACAACACAGCCACTTGCGAAACAACGCGTATTTAAGCCTCCGTCGGTTCAAGTTACCGGAAATGCCCAATGCCCGCTTTGTCTTGCATCAAACCACCGAATGGCTGGTTGCATTTCACGCCTGGCGGTCGGCTGATTCGCGTTGAGATGATCTGATAAAGAAGGCAACCACATGAATCCGTTCTAAATTTTTATTAGTGTGCGCATCGACTTTAATTGCATGCCCACATGAAGCACTCATTCCAGTTAGCCCACCTCTAGGTTTTCTACAACTACTGGATGATACAAGCGATGTCAAGGCACTCGTGTGTGGTCCCACACCGCTTGAGCACATAAATTGACGCTGCGGTGATTTAGAAGAAACACCAGCTGTGGTTGCGGTTATTTACTGGCACACATTAGAGGTCTTCCAAAGACGGTGATTAGACATTGTACATGCGTGGGATCGACTCCACACAGAGATTGCAGTCTGGTTGAATTGCACCAGTAGATGGTGTCTTTCAGGGCGACGTGTTTAGCCTCAAAACATAGACCACGCTTGCCAGGCACTCTCGATCTTCGTTAACAATTTTCGTTTGCAGCAGACTATTGATATTTGGAAGCACTTAGACTCCATCCGATAATCTGAATGTGCTTTAGAACACAAAAATATACCTTGAGAATTGCGTCAATCCATGGTAGGAACGTGGGTCTGTTCCGGTGCATAGCGCTGGCCGTGCACTTTTGGGTCACAGAATGCTGACCTTTTTATTATTTTGTGTCTGATGCAAAAAATTCCAACAAATATTTGCTCTTAAGTTATTTTTATCAGTGTGTGCCGGCAGGACTTCAATTGACGTGACGGGTTTAAACAGGTACACCAATTCTAGATCAGGGCTATGGACATGGAGGTTCACGTGAGTAATTAGTGCGAACATGTTGTCACTCCCCAAATGCGCGCACAGCATTCCTATTAATCCTAATGAGAATCTTT